ACAAACAGGCCTCAGGACCGTTCTAACAGACCCAACCGGTACCAGCGGAGTCTCACCCAGAACACCTGCAACAGTCAAGCGCATTCAGGACTGCCTCTCCCTACTAGAGGTGGAGATGATGGAAATGAGAGAAAACAAACTTGCTGAAAACGACATTATTCAACAACCGAGAACTGAACTAACTCAGCACAAGAAAGAGACTCAGAATAAAGTCAGACAAACTGAAAGAGATATGAATTCACTTCAAAGAGAAAACAAGACTCTAAAAGATGATTTGATGAGATTAAAAGAAGAGCTGATACAGAAAGACACACAGATCATCAGCCTCACAGAGCAGCTCCTAAAGGAGACAAGACACTGCACAGACGCCCTCTATACAAAAGACCGTACACTACATCCTGAGAACAGTGGAAAAGAGCCAGAGCTCCGCCCCTCCAGCACTCAGAGTAAGCCAGAGCTCCACCCCTCCAGCGCTCAGAGTGAGCCAGAGCTCCACCCCTCCAGTTCTCCACATAATGAGCCCTCTACATACAACAACCTACAGGATCACTCCCCTCCAGCCCCTCTATGTCCTCCTGTTGTGCACCATTCACAACGTCACATGCCAGGCTGACCTGTACCGCCTCCCAAAACAGCACTACTCATCGACTCCAATGGGAAATTTTTAAAACATCGACAGATGTTTCCAACACACAGCGTAGGAAAATTCTGGTGCCCCACAACCCAAACAGCACATGAACTGCTTCACCCTGCACAGTTGGGTACGCCAGATAACATTATTATACACACAGGAACAAATGAGCTGCGTTCACGTAGGAAATGTCTCGCAACAGCAGTAATACAGACAGCTCTGAAAGCTCAACAGGAGTTTCCAAACACTAACATCACCATCTCCACCTTACTGCCACGAAAAGACGTTCCCTACGAAACGATCAAGGAAATTAATGATACTATCAGTACAGAATGTGCCAGTATGACTGGCATTAAAATTGCCCATCATCCAACACTAACAGCTGAACACCTATATGACCACGTTCATGTAGATAAAAACTACGCTTGGATGTTAGCATATGACCTGGGAGCAGCTGTGTCTAACCCCTGGTTCCTAGCACCTTATCCAGCCAGAGGACAACCAGAATACCAGCAGCACTCGCATGTGATCAGTCACACAGACTACCATCTAAAGAACAAAGTGCAACTTAAGAGAGACAGATGGAGGAGAGCCCCACCAAACACTGCAACACCCAGCAGAACCTCAGAGCACAACTCTACGAATAGTAGAGCCCAGCACAGCACCACTACAACTAACAGAACCACGGCCAGCATCACTGTACCCAACAGAACCACGGCCAGCATCACTGTACCCAGCAGAACCATGCCCAGCAACACTACACCCAACAGAACCACAGCCAGGAACACTGCACCCAACAGAACCACACCCAGCAACACTGCACCCAGCAACACTGCAACACCCAGCAGAACCTCACAGCAAAATTCTACAAACAGTACGTCCCGGCACAGCAACACTGCAACTAGCAGAACCACGCCCAGCAACACTGCACCCAGCAGAACCACGCCCAGCAGAACCCTGATCAACCCTTACAGCAGACCCCTGCCAAGTGATGCTACACACTGCACAACACAGGCATCTCCACAACCCGGCCAACAGCCCTCCTATGCTCAGGTGGTATCCAATGGGAAACAAACAGACCATCCAGCCTTTGAAGAGGTGAGACAACTACTCCAACTTATCTGCAGAATCGTGGGATAAACCAAATGGAACTCTAAAAGTTATTACTTTTCTAATTATTGTTATTGTTATTATTATTATTATCTTTTTTATACAATCCGTATTGTAACTGTTGCTTTCTGATGTACATATCTACTAATAGTCAGTGAATACCAGTTTAATTTAAGATGCGATCCCTTACCATTAGCTCTTGGAACATCCAAGGACTATACTCCTCAACATCTGGTTTTAAGAGCACAAATGTAGACTTCTTAATGAATATTTCTGATGTAGACATTATTATATTATTAGAAACATGGTGTAAAGACGACACTGACACTCACTGTCCCACACATTACAGAGAAATTTTACTGCCCTCTCTAAAACAGAAAAATATTAAACATGGTAGAGACTCCGGGGGGGGGGGATCTAACAGAAATTAAAAGAGCATCCACACACATTTGGCTGAAATTAAATAAACACATTATTGACTGTGAAGACGAGTTATACATATGTGCAGCGTATACCCCCCCTACAGAATCTCCATACTATGAGGACAATTTCTTTGAGGATCTTCATCATGAGATCAGACATTTCCAGGCCCAGGGCAATGTGATGCTGATCGGAGATCCAGACGCCAGAACAGGAACAGAGAGTGACGTTATCGATTCTACTGGCAATAAATACATATTCAAACAAAAATAAATACATATTCAAACAAAAATAAATACATATTCAAACAAAAATAAATACATATTCAAACAAACCCCCACTCACACAAATACCATCACTACTCGAAGAAACAGTCCTGATCACGTCCTGAACAGAAACGGTACAGAACTAGTGCACCTCTGTCCATCCTCAGGTCTGTATATTCTTAATGGCAGGATCAGAGGGGACTCTTTAGGGAGATTCACATACTGTTCAGCTCTTGGAGCCAGTGTAGTCGACTACGTAATCACTGACACGGACCCCTCCACTATTAGTGCATTCACTGTCCTGTAATACATTCCAATTATGTAATGTATAGTCCTGTAATGTATTCCAATCAATGACATATATTATAAATCAGCTAAGAAAGCAGGCATCAATTTCACAAATATCACACACAGCCAAAAACCAAAGGAAGAATGGTTTGATGAAGACTGTAAAAGAATAAGAAAAAAATTAAGAAATCTATCAAACCAAAAACACAGAGAGCCACACAATATTCAAAATTCTCCAAAACGGTGTCGGGGGTAAAGTCTATGACATCATTAAATCAATGTATGTCAATAATAAATGTGGAATAAAAATTGGCAATAAAATGACAGATCTCTCCACTCGAGGCTGTGGTGTCAGGCAGGGTTGCTGCTTGTCCCCTACTCTATTTAACATGTACATTAATGATTTAGCTGTGTTACTAGAGCGATCTGCAACACCTGGCCTGACACTGAACCAAACGGACTTTAAATTTCTCCTCTATGCAGATGACCTTGTGCTGCTGTCGCCCACTGAAAAGGGGCTACAGCAGCACCTGGATCTGCTAGAGCAGTACTGTCAGAACTGGGCCCTGACAGTCAACCCAAACAAATCTAAAGTCATGATCTTCCAAAAGAAAGCCGGATCTCAGGAAAGCAGATATGTGTTCAGTCTAGGAGACGCCGCCCTGGATCAAACGCTTTCCTACGATTACCTGGGACTAAAGATCAGTGCCTCAGGAGGCTTCGGTCTGGCAGTGAATGCACTGAAAGAAAAGGCCTGCAGAGCCTCGACTCAATCAGGAAACAGTTCCACAAGATTAACATCCCAATCAGAATCTGGACAAAGATCTTCGACAGTGTAGTCCTGCCCACTGCGCTGTACGGTAGTGAAGTCTGGGGTCCACTCAGTCGTGACTACACTAGATGGGACAAGCATCCCACTGAAGTCCTGCATGCAGAATTTTGCAGAATGATTTTAAACGTCCAAAGAAAAACACCAGCGAATGCCTGCAGGGCTGAATTAGCCGATTCCCTCTAATCACGAACACTGAAAAAAGAACACTGAGATTTTGGATGCACCTTAAATCGAGTCCCAAAACAAAACTGCAGTTTCAGGCACTCCAATCCCAGGAGCTGAACCCTGAAAAGAGCCCCCTGTGTCAGCTGGCACAGAGATTGACCACCTCACTGACCCCCAACAACCCAAACTCTCTGACCAGCACTGCTTCCCAAACACCAATCAGAGTAAACCAAATTATTAAACAAAGTAAAAATACCTACCTGGAACACTGGAAACACCAAATTCACTCACAAAACAGACTGAACTGCTTTCTGGCCCTAAAACAGCAAAACAGACTGGCTGAATATCTTGTTACTGTCTAAGATATGAAGCAGAGATGGATCCTCACCAAATACAGGCTCAGTGACCACAGCCTGGCCATCGAGAGAGGCAGGTTTAAAAAGCCCTGGCTAGCGAGAGAGGAGAGAGTGTGTGGTCACTGCAGGACAGGTGAGGTAGAGACAGAGGTGCACTTCCTACTGAACTGCCCAAAATATGAGTCTATTAGAAATAAATATTTTAATCAATTTGAAAAACAAATAAATAACTTTGGGACGCTGGGAGATGAAGATAAATTAGTAATTATATTAGGAGAGGGTCCAGCAGCGTCCACTGCAGCCAGATATGTGTACGAGTGCCATACACTCCGGGACAGTGGGTGACCATCACACCACAGCCTTTTCTTTACCTTCACTGTTATATATGTATATCTATAGTACAGTTTCATTTTTTCTCTTCTTACTCACATAAATATATTTGATAATTAACTTTTGTTTTTCTCTCTCTTCTTATTTATTGCATTATCATACATTAATCTTGGTTTGTATTTTGTTTATTATTATTATTATTATTATTATTATTATTATTATTATTTTTATTATTTTTATTAACTTTTGATACATAGATCATTTTTATTGTGCTTTGACAATACATATGTACATTTGAGAGAGAGAGACAAAGACAGAGAGAGAGAGTGAGAGAGAGAGAGAGAGAGAGAGAGAGAGAGTAAGAGGGTGAGAGACAGAGAGGGAGTGAGAGACAGAGAGAGCGTGAGAGAGAGCGAGTGAGAGAGAGAGAGAGAGAGAGAGTCCTATAGTAAAGGTACTATATCTGCGTTTTTTCTCAGTTTCTGTCACTGCAGTGACAAATCACAGATTAACAGATGAGCTTCTTTCCGAGAGCCCTGATCACACACACACACACACACACACACACACACACACACACACTCTCTCTCTCTCTCTCTCACCCGAGGCTCAGCTCTGCCCGTCATCTTCTTCAGCAGGTCGTGTAGGTGAGGCCAGTTTCCCTGAGAGTACCAGCCGGGCTTCTCCAGACCAGGAAGACCCTCAGAGTCCTCCACATCGTTCACTACACAAACACAAACCCACAGCTCAAACAATCAGTCTATCTCACTAAAAACCTCTGAAACACAGAAACCGCACTGTTAGAGACACGTATGACCAACAACACCACGCGGGCAACATACATCAGTAACAGGGCTAGTGTCCAATATAATATACAGAATTAAAAAAAAATATATGTATATATACATACATATATATATATATATATATATATATATATATATATATATAAATAAATATGTAAAACAGCATTACTGTCTAATATAATATACATTATTAAAATATGTAATACAGCAGTATCAGTGTGTTTTATGATGGACGCTGCGTGCAGGTCTCTCACCCAGCGTTCTGAAGGGTCTCTGCTGAGGAATGAGGGAGAAGAAACCCGGTTTCAGAGCGTTCGTGATGATGACATCAAAAAGATCCTCAAAGTCCTTCCTGAAGAAAAGCCATCACATCACATGACTGACCACACACCAAACTAACAAGCTCATTAACTCACACCTCTGCAGTCTCTGTGCTCAGCGGAGGTGTTACTGACCCTCACTGGACCAGACGGTCCTTCTACAGGAAACAAGGTGCTGGACGGTGTTCTGTCCAGAAAAAACTTTTCAGTTTATAATTGACCTGAAATAATGATTGACACGTCTCTCGGCCAATCTGTCAGCTCTGAACTCTCTTATCCATCGTTAAACTCCTGCAGCGAGAACGTCAGTGGCAGCGAATCAGAGTGAAAAACGTAGAGGAGTCTGTGAGGAGCGTGTAAAGCTGGACTGTCCTGACCATCGGCAGCTGAACAAGTTTAACAAACTCGCAGCTCAGTGACTGAACTGGTCACAGACTCATCAGGATAGACTGATAGAGTCTGATAAACTCTATCGGGTTTCTGGTCAATACGTTTTCAAACGTGTGTGTGTGCAGGACGTGGACGCTGTGAGCTATGCAGAGTGTTGGACACTGTTAAGTTCAAAAATGTGTAAAGACGCATTTCATAACGCGACGCAAGTGTGAGCTGCATTCTGATTGTTACAGCAAGGGGTGCTATAATGACAGCCAACCCTGTCCGAGCGGTCTCAGACCGCCAGCGTGTTTCTGAACTGCCACAGCAGATGAGGAGCCGAGTCTCACCAAAGTCGGCTTACATAATCATAAAAATATGATCCGTTATGGTCTTTCAGTTCCAGCAGGAGAGCTGAAGCAGCTCACTCTCCTCTACTGCCCACGTTCAGCTGCTGGAACAACAGTAGATCCTCTCTGATTGTCCTCTAGCGCCCCCTTCAGTACAGCGTGTTTTAACCTCCACAGTAACGTGAGAACACACGCTGAGTTTGTACAGAAGGACTGAGCATCTGCAGCACGTTGTCATTTGCGTTGGTGAACCTGTGTTGAGTTTTGGGTGACGCTGAACTCAATGGTTACATTTTGGTGAGTATAAACGCAGAGCAAACCAGCTTTTGTTGGAATTCATTAATTACTCCCACCATGATAGCTAGCATGACCGTGTGGTGACTGTGGTGGTCTCCCTGCAGAGGTGGTCCATCAGCTGACATACATGCTGTTCCACTGGCTGAGGTTCACTAATATATCGCTGTATGAAATAAGATCTTCAATAAAATGTGACAAATAAGCTGGTGTTACATTGAGAGTCTCTCACTGCTGCAAATAAACAAAACCTAATTAAATGATCTAGAACAAGTGATGTCAGGGCAGACCACCTCAGCAGAAGGACCACCACAGTCCCCACAACAGCAGTCAGTCATTAAACAGGACTGTGCATGTTTGTAATCAAAAGCAAATAATGTTACTCTGACTAGCTCTGATGCCTCTGTGTTAGCATTAGCTTTAGCATTTAGCTTTATCTGAAGGGGCAGCTTCCTTAACTCCAGCCTTAAACACAAAAACCCACTTTAACGTTGAGCCGCTAAAAATTTCCCTCAACGCAAAAATCGTTCACAGAAACTTTTCCACGTTTTAAATGTGTTTGCGTAACGTCTCGTAATCACGGTTCACCTTTAAACGGCGAAATGTCTCAGAAATGTCTCCTCTGGGCTGTTGATGCTACCAGTGCAGCCGGAGCTGAAAGCTTGATTACCATGGCAACAGGAACTAAGGGAAGCAGAATAACTCACCCCAGTATGTGATCACAGACCAGCCTGCAGTAGTCTGAGTGGGAGCTGGTGATGAGGAGGAGGATTTTGCCATTTTCCTTCAGGCTGCGGAGCCAGCGGCGCACCGAGGCTGAACACGGCTGCAGGAAGCGCCCTGGATCACGCTTCACTCGCGGGAAATACCAGCCAGAGTCCTCTACGGACAGAAACACGGACATCAACAACAGCCGTCACTCACAGACTCTATAAACACTGTAGGACGTACTGTTACACATAAAACCTCAACTGAGTGACTGATTGAGTGAGTGACAGTGAATGAGTGACTGTCTGACTGACTGAGTGAATGAGTGACAGACTGAGTGAATGAGTGAATGAGTGATAGTGAATGAGTGACTGACTGAGAGAATGAGTGAGTTAATGAGTGAATGAGTGAGTTAATGAGTGAATGTTTGACGGACTGAGTCACTGAGTGAGTGAGTGACAGTGAATGAGTGACTGAGTGACTGACTGATGTCCACTGTAGAAATGTAAGTGGGCGAGCGTAACCCCAGATAAACAGGTGGCGCTGTGCACCATTAAACATCACCCTACCAACACTTTCAACATAAGACTAATAACCACTGGAGGAGAAACACTTTCACATATATAAATATCATACAGGCTCTTCTGTAGTGCTGTTCCAGATAACACAGCACCAGAGATCAGCCATGCTAATCGGTGGCGTATACACACACACACACACACAGACACACACACACACACACAGACACACACACAGACACACACACACACACACAGACACACACACACACACAGACACACACACACAGACACACACACACACAGACACACACACACACAGACACACACACAGAGACACACACACACACAGACACACACACACACACACAGACACACACATACACACAGACACACACACACAGACACACACACAGACACACACACACAGACACACACACAGACACACAGACACACACAGACACAGACACACACACACACAGACACACACACACACACACACATACACAGACACACACATGCACACATACACAGACACACACACCGACACACACACAGACACACACACAGACACAGACACACACACGCACACAGACACACACATGCACACACACACAGACACACACACACACACAGACACACACATGCACACACACACAGACACACACACACAGACACACACATGCACACACACACAGACACACACACCGACACACACACACAGACACACACACCGACACACACACACACAGACACACACACACACACACACACTGACGCACAGACACAGACACACACACCGACACACACACAGACACACTCACAGACACACTCACAGACACAAACGCACACAGTAACAGTGATATTATGGTGATATAACCGATATAACAGTGGTGTAACAGTCATATAACTGATATAACAGTGGTATTACATTGGTATTAGTCATATAACAGATATAACAGTAGTATTAGTGGTATAACAGTGGTATTAATCACATAACAGTCATATAACGGATATAACAGTGGTATTACAGTCATATAACAGATATAACAGTAGTATTACAGTGGTACAACAGTGGTATTACAGTGGTATTACAGTGATATAACAGTGGTATACTGAAAGCTGAACTATTACTTTGGGGTTGTTTTAGTGAAAAATGTTGCTCTGAATAGAAGATGATAAATACTCAAACGTGGTGTTTTATATGAGTAAAAACAGCGAGAGCTCCCCCTTCTGGATGTTTGGAAACATAAGCAATCAACTTCTTGTAATATTGTCCTTTTACAGACTTCACAGTCTAAACAGTGTTTAGTGATGGTTTAAATAGCTGGTTATGTCTATGGAAATGTGTGTTGCTCTGTGGCTCCGAGTGAACTGTGACGCTCTCCGTCTCACAGGAACTACAAATGAACTCATTAATCTGTTACACTTCAAAATAAATGGAAACAGAATGTAATACTGTACTGAGTGTGTGTGTGTGTGTGTGTGTGTGTGTGTGAATCTCCAGATCCACACACAGACAAACCCTGTAACTGATAATAATTCTACTGTCAGCACTGCCCCCCTGCGGAGAACACTCAGTACTGCAGCCTTCATTTCACTGCCTTTCAGTAAAGCTGTAAAATCTTATAATCTTATAGCGGTAACTCAGTTTACCAGCACTGTGGGTTGCTACTATGGCAACTTGAGTAACCTTCAACCAACAACAGGCCTAATATGCACTGTTCAAACCTGAGAGCTGAACACAGACTGATTATTACAGACAAACAAACTGTGAAATGCCTGCAGTTAGACTCCAGGGGGCGCTGCTATATTAAACACAGCGTATTTACACACAGTTATTACAGGATGTGATATTATGTGTCTGATTGAAAAACTTCAACACTTTATTTACATTTTTTACACTGTAGATTTGATTAAAGTAACTCTTTAAGAGGCGCTGTAAATAATTATGAATATTGGCTGATATCACTCAAGTTTGATAAAGTTTAGAAATATTCATACTATAAAAAAAAAGATTCATTTAGCAAAGCAGCAAAAGTAACTAATAATCACATAAATCGATAAAAACGCATTTAAAGAGTTAAATGTTGAACTAAACTCTATACTGTTACTGTTTCTGAGCTGAAGTCCTGTTTGTCTTGTAAAAAAGGACAAATATTAACGCAGAACATTTTTTGTTACAAATCAAAAACTAAAATATTGTGATTAAAAACTGAAAAATCTAACAATCTTTAAATTATGGCTGTCCAGTGAAACACAGAGAGGCCAGCAGAGGTCAGTGTGGAGTCTGAAGGGTTAAACTTCTACTTTGCTGAGAGAATGAAACAAATCAAAGGCTGAATGCAGCCGTAAATACACACACACTCATACATACACACTCATATACACACACTCATACGCACACTCACACACTCAGCGGTGGTGAAGCTGTAAACACTCTGCAGTGAGAGGCTCCATTAAACTTCACAAATACAACACTTGCCACTGCACTGTGTGTTTACAGCAGCGGCTCTGACTCCGACTGCGTTTCATCTCCAGCACAAACTCTGTATTTACTAACTCCGTCTGTGGGTTCAGCTCCGCATCTGTAACCCAGAGCTCCCAGCTTTCCCTCTCTGAGCCACAGACTCCACTCTGCTCTTCTCCCCTATCTCTTTACTCTCTTCACGCTGGACCTGCCTGACCGTCAGCAGGACGGCCTGCTCTGCATTCTGTACTCTGCTTTTCTTCTGCGGCCGTTGGAGCTCCAGCAGGATCTAATCTCGATCCTCATGGTGGCACTAATTTTAAACTAAGCATCACATTATTTTATTTCTGGAGCTCACCAGCATCCTGTGGCACTATCACACATACGCACACTCACACACACGCACGCACACTCACACACACACACACACACACACACACACACACACAGTCTGTTATATAGCTGGTTGAAGTGTGACTCAGCACTGCGGTGTCGCTAAACCGCTCATTTCACTCTTCTCATTCGTCTATTCTCTCCTTTAATCCAACAGGTTTTTAAATCTGCCCTCAGCGGACGTGGCTGAGAAATGTTCCACCAGCCGAAAATAACCAGCGAGAAGTGAAAGACACCGGAATAAAGAAATAAGCACGCATGCTGCAGACATTTTTACTGATCTTTATCATTATCGCTGCTTCGACTCACAAATTAAAGTGTTTCTCAGTGAAATTCGCCGCTGGAGAAAAAGGCAGAAAAAAGAGAAAAGATAAAGAGAACAATGAGTGCAGAGGAAAAGCTCCGTGGTTTGTGGACTCCAGCGCCCGGTGATTTAGGAGTGCCTGACGCCAAAGCCATGGTCAGTCAGGACTGGAGGTGAAAACCGGGAAAGCAGCGACCAGTCATTACAGAAACATTAGAGAAACCTCAACAGGGCCGAGAGAGAGAGAGAGAGAGAGAGAGAGAGAGAGAGAGAGAGAGAGAGAGAGAGAGATTAGATTTTAGAATCAGTCTCTGTTCTCTACCTTCATTCACTTCCACACACACCTTTAAAGTCACTTACAAACAAAGTCAATTACATTTTATAACAAATCAGGTTTTATCACATTTCATTCCACACAGCTGAAAACTCACTGCTTTCTAATGTAGAAAAAAAAACCTTCAAAAACTCCACCACATCATTCAGATTACTCTGTTATTCAGGCCTAGAAACTGTATCTGAACAAATCCTTCCAAATACCAAACAAAAGCACTAAGAAGCCCCACAAAATTCCATCTGAACCGATTGTAGCTCACAAAATTCTGTCTAAATTCGACTTTAGCTGACTAAATTCTGTCTGAACTGACTGTAGCCCACAAAATTCTGTCTGAACCGACTGTAGCCCACAAAAATTCTGTCTGAACCGACTGTAGCCCACAAAATTCTGTCTGAACCGACTGTAGCCCACAAAATTCCGTCTGAACCGACTGTAGCCCACAAAATTCCGTCTGAACCGACTGTAGCCCACAAAATTCCGTCTGAACCGACTGTAGCCCACAAAATTCCGTCTGAACCGACTGTAGCCCACAAAATTCTGTCTGAACTGACTGTAGCCCACAAAATTCTGTCTGAACTGACTGTAGCCCACCCAATTCTGTCTGAACTGACTGTAGCCCACAAAATTCTGTCTGAAGCGACTGTAGCCCACAAAATTCCGTCTGAACCGACTGTAGCCCACAAAATTCTGTCTGAACCGACTGTAGCCCACAAAATTCTGTCTGAACCGACTGTAGCCCACAAAATTCTGTCTGAACCTGACTGTAGCCCACAAAATTCTGTCTGAACCTGACTGTAGCTGGACCACCCTGCCCATCATCTTATCTCTGCCCACTGCATTTTGTGTCTGACCAGCGTCTCCCTTCAGAGCCAGTACTTGCTGACTCAGGAATCGCAGACTGAGGGAGGAAACACGGTGTGAATGTGGCAGAGTGTTTTAATCACTGGGGACTTTCACACTTCTTTCATTGAATCATTCTGCGGTCAAAAATGGAATCTTTCTAAACAAACTTGAAGCCTTTAAGTGTGAAATCCTCCCACAAAAACAGCGACCAAATCGTCAGGCTACACCCTGATACTGCGCAATTCCAGTCTAACAGTTTCACCCTCCCAACGGCTGCTATTAACTTAAAGATGAAAAACAGTAGTTAGTTTA